AAAAGTACTAATGTCCGATGTGAATCCACTGAAGTTAAATGAGTGTAATGTTCGAACTTTGTAAATGCTCCTGGTCAAATATCTGAAGTTTTCCAATTGATAAGTGTTATGACAATCACAGTTATAGCTTCTGAAGTTTATAGCACACTGACTTATAGCGAACTAATAACAGATACTCTCTTTTTCGGTGCATCGCATTGGTTATATTTATAGCATGTGGAGGGGTTTTAAAAATTTCAGTTTTACATAACAATCCTGGTGCTAACACAAGTATTTACGTACACACATATATTGTTGATTCTTACTCTTGAGAATCTTCTACAACTTTGGAGAATAGGCGGGAGTTTTGCAATACATATCTAACACTATAAGTTATGTATGTTTCTAAATATAAACTTAATCTAAACAAACGGTGATATTAAAATAAATATATAAGAATAAATTCATTACATATTTATGAAGCAAAAACCACTAGTGGTCCTACGGAACACCCCATCTCAATGGTGTCCGTAATCTAATCCTGTGACATAATTGGTTCGGCATAAATGAAAATTGAACTGAGGCATATGGAATTGTACATCAGAGCTGTGGTACAAGGAACTACAATGTAATTGACATTAAGCATGGTCACAGGATAGACAGTGCAGATTTTTCCAAAAAAAATCTTGGTCAGGCACCACCCACCACAGAGTGGGATCCACAACACACTAGCAAAAAGGTCCCTGTAAATAAAAAAATAACTAAAACACAGTACTCACCAGTCATAATGACACTGTGGTGTGTAAGATGGTGACTGGAGGTAAATGAAAACCCATTGAGCAAGAAATTGCCACAGATGTAAATAATGTGAAACAAAGGTATGAGGTGCTGGGAAACCATTATCTCTGTACATTACATGGGTTTGGGAAACACTGGAGAGAGAACTTGTGTGCTTTAGCATGATGCCTTAGAACAAAGCTTTTGCAATAGAAACTACTCTGCAGAGCTATTGTCAAGATATATGGTCGTCAGACAAAGCATGACAGGATGTAACAACATGGACCGTACAAACATGGCAAAGTCCAAAAATAGTTTTATTATAATGTATTCTACCTCTGTAATAGATCAGTGGCCAGTTTTTAAGAAAAGCCCAAAGACCATTACATTAAGCAATGAATTCAGGTTGCTCTAAGTCATCAAGAACAAATGGCCCAGTCAAAATTAAAGAAAATTTTTCACCACACTGAACTTTTAATACATTTGTTGTAAGAGAAAATGGTTAAATACTGACAACTCTCATACAACTGTTCCAGAAAAGTGACTCTCTATAGTATGTGTCAAACCCTCAACTGGCAAAGACTAGTGTTGCAAGACAACTCTGTTTAGAGCAGACACAGGGAATGGGTTAAAAACTGTCATAAAATATTTGCAGGTACAGATGATAACCTTTAGAATTTGGCATAAAACTGCTCAAGTAAACACATTAAGTGTTAAATATCTTCCCATGAGACTGATAATAGTAAACCAAGGGAAATCAATTCCTAACACTAAATTAATTTTGTATTGAGTTTGCTTTTTTAAACATTAGTAATAGTAATTCATCTGAATTATTTATTTAGATTTGATTTTAATAATCACTCTCTGAGATTATGGCAATGTGAAATATGGCATGGTGTAGTTGTAATGTTCATTACAATATAACATGCAAGGAGATTATTATATTTCAACAATCTAAAAGAGTGATAAGGAAAACTATGGGGTTGCAAGAGGCTTAAAAAAGAATTTGTAAAACTAGCAGAAATGCCATCCTACAGCCATCTGTTTGTGCTAGTACATACTAATTGTACTATTCATACCTTATTATAAAAAGTTGTAAAAAAGCAAACATTTTCTAAAATAGTATTTTTTTCTGGGAAGTACTGCACGGGAAAAGTGTTTGGCTTGTGCTCTTTAGTCATACAGAACTTACTGTATCAAAATGATTCAATGTACAGAGCTCAAAGGTTTCATATATTTTACTGATATAAACTGTAATGTTTTCATATATTAAAAGTGCTACTCTTTATTGAAAATGTTTTTAAGAACCCCAGTTTTTAGTATTACATTTAAAAATTACATCAATCTATAATAACAAAAGGGAGTGTCTGTGCGTATATGTGACCATCATAGGTCCAAGAGGAAAGAACCAAAAGAACTGAAAATTTGCACCCATACTAAGTAGACCCTGAGGATGTGCATCTGAGTATTATTACTTAACCATGTGCATGCATGCAAGCACATCTTTTTATGATGCAAGCTAGCATAAAACCAAATAGAAATGATATGGTTCCTTGTATTACAAATAGAAATTACAGACAAATACACTCCCTTAACCTCTTGCATGTGCATCTTTTCAATGAAGCAAGCTAGTAAAAAAACACATAGAAAAGAAGTGGTTCCTCATGTTACAAATAGAAATCACATAGACATGCTCTCTTATTCACATCTTTTTAATGAGGCAAGCTAACGAAAATCCACATAGAAAAAAAAGTGGTTTCTTATATTACAAATAGAAATCACTGGAAAACACGCTTTTTTATTATTATAGACTATTGATAATAAATAATTCTTAATTTACTGTACTTTCTTTATGACTTTTTTATGTTTCTGGGAAATAAAAATATGTTTAAAATATTTTTGACTGTTCTTCTATGCTAAAATAGGTTTGGGATACACACACTGACATTGTCATCTAGAATATATCAACCTAATAACAAAGCCGGGTACTTTCGCTAGTAAAGATATAATCAAACCCTCACGTACAGTCCTAGTGAAAGTTGTATTCTTGTTGTGAGGAAAGGAGTTTTATTTAAAATTGTGTTGTGTTATAAAGAAATACTTGCGCATACCATAGTTATTTTTCTAATTGTCTGAATCTTGAATAACCAAAGTGTGAAATATTCTAAAAAGTTTTTGTTTGTGGTCGCATCCAATAGATGGCGCCACATTTCATACGTCTCAATCACCACCTTTGGCATTGAAATCTTGTTGTCTTTCAGCACAACAGACAGCATCGTTGTATTTTATATATTAGTCACATAGATAGATATATAGACAGCCATGCCACTGCTACATTATAGCGAGATGTTTATAGTTTACATAAAATTTTACATGTTACATTTTAGCCCTATATTTTCTCTAAAACTCTCCATTCTTCCTGTATTTAGTTCAATAAAAATTATTCGATATCCTGGATTTTGTAAATCAAAGTAATGGTAATAAAGAATTTGATTACAAAATATTAAAATAATACCCAAGTTTTTACATAAGGCATTGAAAAATTTTTTATTTTGAAACTTTCAAATTTGTAACGATAAGTATTCAAAAAATTAAAACTTGAATATTATTACATTAATACAAGATTTTTGATAATGTTTTTCAGTTACAGTTGATTTTACGCTGCAAAACTTTGTGTTCAAAAATGTTGAAAAAAACCCACTATACACAAGTTATTTTCTATTTTTTTGCCAGATGATCATATCTGAGAATCCAACATACTGAAAAGTTCACAAGAAAAAATGTTACTCTTACCATGAATTTTGTGTCACCAAATGAAATTGTGTCTGTGATTAGATCTATTTTCTCGAGTCTTTCGACAACTCTTTTCAGGAATCCATCCTGAAAAGACAATTAGACTATATACACACTAGTTCAAGGCTATGGCTGTCACTTTAAACTTATTTCTTCTGGGTATATTACATGTTTTGTTACATATTTTATGAAGAAAGTACACTATCTGCTAACAAGACCTACAAAAGTTTGTATCATAGATTTAATTTAATAATATATAACATTTTGCCAAACTTTCCACCCTTATCAAAAATGTTTTTATTTTTTAACAATTGTCTTATCTGTTTTCACCCTTAATTCTACATGCATAACATGGTCAAAATGTACATGTCACATTTTTTTTCTTTTATAGAGTTCCATTCTGATTTTATTTAATTAAAAAAACTATATTATAATTTTACGTCTACAAACTTAGCATCAAAACATAAGTTTATGATTCTAAATATTATCTAAATATTCTATATCATCTAAATTTTTATTTCTTAATTTCAAATGAAAATATATAAATTCTCAAACTTCGCTTCTCTGTGTCCTGTTACACATGTGTACTCTAAATTCTTCTTATAGATTTTATATCTACCCTAAATTGGCTTGACGAGTATCCAACCAACTAGAAAACAAACTATAGATAATTAAAAATTAAGAACAAAAGATTTTAACCTCCTACCTTCTCAGTTGGCTGAGATATTAAAAAAATTTGTCAAAACGTGTCCATATTTCACGGACAAGTCTATAACCAATAGAAAGAGTATTTCCTTCACTACAAAAAATTATCACAGTTGTATAGTTTTGGAAGGCATATGTAGACAGCTGGCCTTAGATTATCTTTAATCATTGTTGTTGAACTCTGAGCAGCTAACCTATCTACAGTTTAGTTAAAACTACAGTTAAATTTTAGTAGTTTTGGGATATTCTATTCTAGTGCATGATATGTTATATTTTCAAAAAATATATATTTGAAAGTCATATGAACTTAAACAACTAACTCAGTGAGAAAAGTGAGGCCTAGCTCAGTTACGCAGGAGTACAAAAATCACATGGGTCACCCACTTTACACATTATGTTTATGACAGATGGGTAATTGGCTTTCTTTCTGATTAATTGCTTGTGACAGCAAATGGTGGTCCAAAGTACAGGTAATAAAACTAAAAGAAAATAAATCTGAAAAGGTTAACAGTTGAAACTGTAAAAAAAGGGAATTGAAAATTTTGCAAAATGATGAATTCAAAGAAGAATGAGTAAAAAAAAGGTATCGTTCATTTTATTTAACATTTTTCAACTTTTCATTTCACTGTACATGAATAATTTCAGTAAAGTTAGTGTTAAGGAAGAGTGATATAACAAGTGAAACAAAGTTTTACTGAAAAAAAGTTTTTGATATTAATTAAAGTGGTTCTATAAGGTATGCCAATTAAATATGAAAACTGTTAAAATGAAAAGAAGTATTTTTTTTCTTAGCATGAAAATCGCCTATTTTACTCAGGCTTCAGAAATTTACAGTCAAATCTTTAGCAGAATCCTTCATTTAAAATTCTCATTTTTTTAGTACAACATATTTATAATACTTACTAAAAGCTTGCCAAATTTCATGAAGATATGTATAGTAGATTCAAAATTATGTAGCAAACATTACTATGTATAGCTTTACAGGTGTCAATTGATTAAAAAGAGTAATCATTAAAATTGATTAATCATAGGATTAAAAGGCCAAGTATTTTGTAGAACAACAGTGTTTAAGGGGAGATTCTTAGAGCCTCCTTCATTTATTTCTCACAAAATATTTATGAATATATTGATATTATACAACTTACATTGATTGTTTGTTATTCCTGAACATGCATGTAAATGTTTTCTACAAATGCTTCAAGTATACAATTGATATAGTTTCAAAAATACACACTTTAAAAAATTAAAAACTACTATACACAGATAAGACAACCTAGGAAAATACACTAAATTGGGTAAAGAAAACCAGTATCTAAAAGACCATATTCACTCACCCTCACAGAAAAACTAGAACAATAATAAAAGAAAAAGAGGAATGAAGCTATGGAAGCCTTTCTTTGGCACTTTAAAGATTAAAATAAATGACTGAATTGTACACAAATAAATTGATGATGGTTCTGCTGTTCTGATAACATAACTGATAAAATAAGGTTTTAAAGCATACTATCTAGATCATCAGTTCTCAAACTTTATTAACCCAAGGACCCCTTTTAATTTAAACTTTTTCCACAGACTCCAAAACCAATTACTGTTTTTTGTTCTAAAAAAAACAGATTCTATGTACATGAAAATTTGTATTCCAAAATTAAATGTTTTAATTCATATAAATTTAATTTATGACAGGTATTTAGTATTTTATAAATCATATATATATATTAATATCCTTATGAAATTTTGGATATGGCCCATGGACCCCCTGGAGTACCCTCACAGACTCCTGGACAGACTCCAGTTTGAGAAACACTGAGCTAGAGCATGCTTGATGAGCTAACAACAGAACAGTTCTACTAGTAAAAGTTAATGTTCAGAAGCCTAAGAGCAAGCAAGTTCTTTTATAGAAAGACATAAAACATCTTTTGAAAATAATTTACCTTATTTTTCTTTTCTTTTGATGTGTACTTTTTATGAGTGATCAAAACATCAATGTCTCCCGAGTCTTTTGCTCCTTCATGAAATAAAACTTGTATTGTCATACAAAACTGACAACAATGTTATAGCAAATAACTTACTCCAAATATTTTACATTTTGTGACAGAAGAAAACTTTGCTGCTGTGTTTTAATTCTCTCATGCCAATAGCTGGCCCACATAGATCACACCTGTGTGTTTGACTTAAAACAAGCTTCAACTTACATGCCTGACACTTCAAAGCTGAAAACATTAAAATATTTTCATTGTTCTGAAGAACATAAACCATGCAAGTGTTTTCAACAAGAATAAGTAGCTTTATAAGATATTATATTATTAAACTGCATTCATTAACACAACATACCCTTGAGATCAAATATTAAAATAACTCATAAACTTGGAAATATATTTGTGTCATTGCCAGGTACGAGTTATGCATGTTTAGTAGATCAGTGTGTGTGTGTGTGTGTATATATATGAAATATTAGTCAAATTCTATACAACCCAATAACTTTGCCAAACCCAAAACATGAAAAAGAGCTATGGCAAAATCTGCAAGGTTTGAATTACAAGTAGCTAATACTGACGTGCAGAAACAGTAGTATATATGTACCATTAGTTATTTTAAATAAGTAGTAAAAATGTAGACACTCTGTTAATACTTATAATCTGCCTCTTAAACCACAGATTACAAAAGTGAAACCATGCTATGGACCTAATTTGAAACTGCACTGATTGGAATTAATTTACAACTATTGATATTTAAAGTAAATACTTTTTCTTCCATAAACACCATTTATTAACCTGCACAATTGCATATTATTAAATTTTGTTAAAATTTTTGTTTGTTTGTTATTAAGGACAAAGCTACACAATGGGCTATGGGCTATCTGTGCTCTGCCCACCATGGGTATCGAAACCTGTTTCTAGCATTGTAAGTCTGCAGACATACTGCTGTGTCACTGAAGGGCTTTTGTTAAAATAAATCTTTAAAATATTCAAAAAATTAACAAATTGTAATTGATATTAAAGGAAAATAAAAGCTATTTATCAATAAATACCTGGAATTATATTAAAATTACTATTAATTATAAAACAGGTGACATTAGCCTGTTTAAATAATGGAATAGATTAAAAGAAAAAAAAAATTGTATACACAAGGTTAAGAAGGGGTCACAACATTTTTCTATGTTCCATCGTATGAAGTTTGAAATTCCTTAAAAAAACATTTGAAAACTGTGTAGCTTTAATGGGAGTTAAAACTGTTAGATGATGTGAACTTGAATATCCTATAAAAAAAATCCTTAAGTACTTGCCTTTAAGGATACGATAATGAAATATCAAACACCGTTGTGGTTAGTGGCCTGTATGGTCATCTTAATCTAATTACTAATTAGCTACTAATATACACATTTCTTTTTACTAAATCTATTTCTAATTACTTTATATCCTATACTTCAACTGCTAATCTGCTGTCATCTTCAAGCCAGTCCTTATTAGTCTTTTGCTAGATATCTTTAGGATATGATATCACCATTAACCAAAAAACACACACACTGAACTTAGTCCACTTTGCAGAGATTATAACCATGACAAAATACCAGATTTGATGTATCTAATCTTTTAATTAACGTACTAACCTATGAAAACATAAGAACTCTCAACAAGCACACTAAACTGATGATCTCCAAGATAATACAACTCACAAATTTCTGTATCAACACAACTTGAACTACTCACAAAAATTAAGGGGTACCGTGTTTTGCTTCAACTGCGTATTCTTAGGTTCACAATTGTCACCAAATCTAGCATGCTTATTGTAGAGAATTACACTAATCCTACCTAGGGTTTGCAAGTTTATGCACCAACAATTCCTTATGTAATAGGCCTTTATGAAATATGACCCAAATTCTGCAAAACAAAAGGTTAGTTTCTATTGCTTAGGAGAGATATTTACTGTTAAAATAATGCTTAGTTTATGGATTTTTTTGCTGGTATTGACTTTTGCAAAGAGTGTGCAAGCTGTTAGAAACCAATTAACTGAACCTGCAGTTTGCAGAGCCATCACACTGCTACAAGAGAGTCACAATTCAGTTTGAGGTGCCACATGTCATAGAGATGTTACAATCTATGGTCCATAGATTGTGGACAGATATCAGGCCACAGGAAAATATACCAAGCAGAATATATGTAGATGAAGGACTAAATGCATTAGGTGACTAATATCTGTGGAGTTAGCCCTAGAAACCATACCAACAGCGCTAGGAGCCTCAGGAATGAGCTGCAGCAAGCCACAGTATCATGCTCAATGGTCAGGAACAGGCTCCATGAGGCTGAGCTTAAGTCCAGGATACCAGTTAGAGTCCATCTACTAACCCCAAGGCACTGGACAGCTCAGCTGGCATTTGCCAAGGAATGTGTTATCTGGACCCTTCAGCAATGGACCCCTGTTCTGTTCACAGATGAAAGCAGATTCTGTGTATCTACAGGTGACTGATGTGTGAGGATCTGGAGATGTGAAGGATACTGATATTCACCATGATGCCTTCGGGGGTAGCTCAATTATGATCTTGGGTGGCATCTGCATGCTAAGGCATACAAGACCTCTATATGGTGGATGGAGGACCTCTGACAAAAAGACATTACATGGATGAGATCCTGCTACCCATTGTTCACCTTTTTGCTGGTACTGTCAAAGATGAGTTCATGTATCAGCAGGATAAGGCCCATCCTCACACTGCCAGGAGCACACAGCAATTTGTTTCAGAATGAAGGAACAGGGATACTGGACTGGCCTGCCAAGTCACCAGACCTGAATCTGATTGAGCATGTGTGGGACTTGCTAGGAAGAGCAGTTAGAGACAGACAATCTGCTCCTATGACTGTCCAGAAGCTCAGAACTCCTCTCATCTAAGAGTAGACTGTGTTTCCCCAAGAAGTCTTCTGAAATGTCATCAGCAATATGAGGAACAGATGTAGAGAAGTCATATCCCATAGAGAAGGTCCTATCAGCTACTAAAGACTTATTTTGTTAAGTTTGTTCATCTTAATACATTATTTTTTCTTTAATATTTGTACAGCCAAATTTTGGCATTTTTCATTAATTTGCTTTTTTGTTATTTCTATATTAGTTTTTGACATGCTTGGTATTGTTTACCTGTGATATTTGTAATAAACAAGTTTTGTCACTATTGAACATCTCTCTGTTTGTTTTCTTCAAATTCTGAAAAAATACATCAAAATTTCATTATCCCCTACTCTTTGTGAGTAGTGTACTTCAAACATGAAGATTTCAGCATGGCTCATCCCTATCAACAGCACTCAATAACCTCTATGTGGAACCTTTAAAAACTAACACCCTCCAAACAGCCACTAACACCCAGGATTTGACTTATTTTGATGACAAACTTATAATATGGCTACAAACCACAGACAAGATTACAGAATTCATAAAACAACAATAGAAATACAAGAAAACTAGTTCCCATTCCAAGACAGGATGATTGCCAAGATAAATAATGTATTTACCACAGAAGTTTACAGGAAATCCACAGATATTGGTATATACACCTCGGTTATAAATCAAACAATCCCAACAGTTTAAAGACAAGCATCATTTGCTGACTAGTCTCCAGAATGAACAAGATTTGTATACCAAAGATGATAAGAACAATGATGAAAGATCACTTCAAACCTTATTGACAACAGATACCATGAACACTTTATAAAGAAAAATTCAGAAATAAAATCAAAGAACACAACCATGTTTCCCAATATTAAGTGCCTTCTGAAAGCATACAAAAGATAGTCAAACAGGTAAGAAAAATATCAAAAGCCTCAACACAATATGATCACAGTTAATACACACCAAATCAACTATACACCCACCGGAGAGGAAAAACACAATTCATAACATCCCTTGTGAACATGGATTCTAAACAATGAAGAATCTAACATGAAGAGTCTGACAACAGTCAAAATTTAGGAGTACAATAGACATACAAGACTTTAATACTAAATTCTCTGCAATGATCCATCATGTCAGAGAAGATCATACAATAATATGGAATAATGCTAAAATAATGGGATTGTACCATACATGAGAAAATGTAAGTTAAAAGAGGACTCCTACACCAAACTAAGACATTTAGCCAACCTAGCATAGAATTCAATAAAACCTGGATACTCTTCTCAAAATTATTCAAATATTTAGTTAATTAATTAATCCAAATTTCAATGGGGATGAGACCCTGAGAGAATTGATATCACATCTTCCTTTAACAAGAAAACCCATGGTTGAATCATAGCTCCTGCCACTACATACAGTCTTTCTCAGGGCTTTTCTGAAAATGAGAACAAATTAAGAACCAAGACATAAAATATCGACCAATTAGGACTTACTAAGACAAAATATCAACCCATAATAAAAAATAAACTAATTAAAAAATTTACTTAGGTGATTGTAGAAGCTAATAATCATAACACAAACTGTCTAACTTACCTCTTCTGTAACTCCCACAAACTACAGCTATATAATCTGAGTCCAATTTCTTACATTCTTCAAGGATGAATTTCTGTGAACATAATAAAGAATAAAAATTAACTTCAGAAATACCTTAGAATAAGTAACGAAATAACACCTAAAATAATTGGCTAAAAAAAAAAAGATATAAACTCACCATTTCTATTAAAAATTTATAATTTCATAGTTTACTACCAAACTTTTACCATACCAGAAGGGACACTCATAACATAAAAAAATCAATAAAGCCGTACAAAAATAATTATGAAGCCCAATCTATCATTTCATTCCCCATTTCTTTCCAAGTTTTTCTGGTTTGGAGGAATTCCACCCTTCATCAGTAACCCTAGACAAGGGTAAATCAAAAATAAAAGACTAGTTTTCTTTTTTTGTGGTGGAATGTATATTATATGTAGTTTTTTTACATTCAACTCAGGAATCACCCACAAACTTTCTTTAAGGCAAAGCATCTTTTCATTGATTGCACTTCCCAAGATGATGAAATCGTTGGTTGTCATTCTAATGTCATAGTCTTGCAAACAGTGATAAAGAAAGGCAGAGTGATTATATGGAGTATTTTGCACATGCTCTTTAATTCTTGAGCTAAAATAATTTATTGTAAAGCCCACACAGTCATGGTTACACCATAGACATATAAATATATAAATAACATAAGAGCAATGTGTTTTAGATATCCTGTCTTTAACTCTTTTGACACGGGCTCGGTTCCTGGGACCGACCTTGTAACCATAACCTCATTATAGTTTACATACTAATAACTTTTAGTATTTTAAGTGTATCCTTACAAACTTTTGTAGACTTATAGTAATCATTAAAAGCCTTTTGCACACAAAAAATCAAATTTTTTAATGAAGTATTTTTACTTAAATTTGTCCGTGAAAATATTGATTCTTTTTTATTTTTTTAACTAGTCTGATTGCAAAGTGATTTTCATGTCAAAAATAAAAAATCTCAAATTTACTTTGTGTAATCCTTAAAACCTCCTAAATGCATTTCAAACGTTTTTTTTTCACTAAATCCT